TACACTGGAAATATATTGGAATATTTAAATAGTACCGCCGCGCCTCTAAACTCTCAATATATTCGGATATTTTAAGTACAGCTGCTCGGCTGGACGCTTGAAATATATTTGGACATTTAAAGAGTATAGCCGGTCGGCTATACGTTGGAAATATATTTCTTTCTTTAAGTAATACAGCCGCAGGCTATACTCTTTTCGAATATTTTAATAGTATAGCCGCCCGGCTATACGTTATATTCCGGGTATGCTATAGCCGTACGGCTGTACTCTCTCCCTCTCTCTTTGGATTTGGTACAACAGAAACAAAGAGGAGCTGCATATATTTCTTTACCTACCTTATTGGGACTTTCGACCAAATAAAAAAAATACGATTCCGAAGTTTGGAGTTAATTTAAGCTGGTCAGCGGGTTAATCATGCTTTCAAGTTTTTTTTTTTTAGGGTTCTAATAAAGAAGCAAAACCCAATTCTCATTGCGACAACGCCAATATTTTGGATTGACCAAAAGAACCTGGGGAAATGGGGGAAGGGAATATGAACTGCGCAGAGCTACAAAAATGTAGAGCAAATGAAAGGAGTTCGGACCCCAAAAAGAAGAGAGAGTTTTGGAGAACAGAGATTATTGGTAAATTAGGGACTTTTGGTGTTCAACTATCCACTAACTTTCAGTTGCAAAATGACAAACAACAGAGAAGTACAAATACCCGTACCACATCTGACTATCCAAAGATCTCCAAGAAGGCAACCGTAAATCAGGGGTACCAAATTGAATTCAAAACAACGGAAGGGAAATAGGCAACATGAGCCTTTGCACCCATGAGAACATGTGCTCAGGACAATTTTCGTCATCATTCTTCAGCAGCAGCTGCTTCTGTCTCAGAGAAATATTGATATGCCCTTCCTTGTGTAATTTTGACGTTACATATTGGTTGTCGAATTGTTTAGTATGTTTTAGCAATCCCAATAATTGTGGTGTATGCTTGAGTTAAGGTTTGGCTAACAATACTTAAATATTAGATGCCCCATACATTGGCTGCCCTCACAGTTTACCACCTACCCCATCTGTAATTTAAGCGGACTATTTAAAATGATGCTGTGCTTTCAGCTTTTTTGGTGCTCAAGGAATGTTCATTGAAGACTAACTATGCTGTCCTCTATTCTCTGTATAACAAACAGGTGAAAGTTTGGTGCACACGGCTGGAAAGGAAACTAGCTAGTGTAAAAGGAACC